TCTCCTCTCTTTTCGTGGTCCTGTAGGGTTATTTTTGAGTCGACTCAAAAATCGTCCTGTAGGGTTATTTTTGAGTCGACTCAAAAATCGTCCTGTAGGGTTATTTTTGAGTCGACTCAAAAATCGTCCTGTAGGGTTATTTTTGAGTCGACTCAAAAATCGTCCTGTAGGGTTATTTTTGAGTCGACTCAAAAATTGTCCTGTAGGGTTATTTTTGAGTCGAATCAAAAATCGTCCTGTAGGGTTATTTTTTAGTCGACTCAAAAATCGTCCTGTAGGGTTATTTTTGAGTCGACTCAAAAATCGTCCTGTAGGGTTATTTTTGAGTCGACTCAAAAATCGTCCTGTAGGGTTATTTTTGAGTCGACTCAAAAATCGTCCTGTAGGGTTATTTTTGAGTCTACTCAAAAATCGTCCTGTAGGGTTATTTTTGAGTCGACTCAAAAATCGTCCTGTAGGGTTATTTTTGAGTCGACTCAAAAATCGTCCTGTAGGGTTATTTTTGAGTCGACTCAAAAATCGTCCTGTAGGGTTATTTTTGAGTCGAATCAAAAATCGTCCGGTAGGGTTATTTTTGAGTCTACTCAAAAATCGTCCTGTAGGGTTATTTTTGAGTCGACTCAAAAATCGTCCTGTAGGGTTATTTTTCAGTCGACTCAAAAATCGTCCTGTAGGGTTATCCCTCCCTCGTTTCCTGCATCCTCTATTCATCCCTCCACCCTCTAGTCTTTCCGTTCTGGGATATCTATTAACTGTTTTCTCACCCTTCCCTGCATTCGGCGTTGCATGGCAGCTGAGGGAGAAGCGGCGGCAGCGGACGATGCGAGGGATTGCGCTGGGGCAGGCGAGGATGCGTCAGGCAGCAGAGGAGAAGCGAGCTAAGGCGGCTGCTGAGAGGGATGAAGAGGAGCGGAAGAGGAGGTGAGGCGTGTGGGGACGAGTCAAGGTGTGAAGGGCTTTGAGTCGTGCGGGATGAGCCTACTTCTGAGGTGCCTTGATGATCGCATTGGGGCAGGCGATGCGACAGGCGGCAGAGGAGAAGCGAGCCAAGGCGGCTGCTGAGAGGGACGAGGAGGAGAGAAAAGAGGAGGTGAGATGGGTGGGCTGGCTGGATGGGTGAGGCGGAGAGGAGGAGGCGGTGAGGCGGGTGGGGACGAGTTGAGAGGGGAAGAAGGTGGCGAGCGGTTTTGCAGGCATTGCAGCTTGCTGCGTGAAGCAGGTTTGGGAGCCTATTTCCCAACTTCACCTTCGTGTCTCCTTTTCGTTGCCTCTGTTGTGTGTTGCCCTCTTCCCTCTTCCCTCTTGCCTCGTGCCTCGTGCCTCGTGCCTCGTGCCTAGTGCCTCGTGCCTCTTCCCTCTTGCCTCTTGCCTCTTCCCTCTTGCTTCTTGCCTCTTCCCTTGCTTCTTGCCTCTTGCCTCTCGCCTGTCGACTGTTGCTTCTTGCCTTCTCTGCAGGGAGAATCCAGAGGCGTATGCAGCAGACTTGAGGGCGCGATTTCGGTAGCTGCAAGCGGCCTTGGAGCAGAGGAAGCGGAGGGATGGTTGACAGCTTCATTTTTCAGTTGCTTGTTGCTTCTTGCTTTCCCTTGCAGGGAGAACCCCGAGGCATATGCAGCAGAGCTGAAGGCGCTGTTCCAGCAGCTGCAGACAGCACTGGAGCAGAGGAAGCGGAGGATGGGAGCAGGGGGCGTGGTTGACAGCTTGATCCCTCATTGTGCCCCTGTTGTGACCATGCTTGTTGCCTGTTTCCGTTGCTTCTTGCTTTCCCTTGCAGGGAGAACCCCGAGGCATATGCAGCAGAGTTGAAGGCGCGGTTCCAGCAGCTGCAGACAGCACTGGAGCAGAGGAAGCGGAGGAAGTTGGGAGCAGGGGGCGTGGTTCTTGGTGCTGCGGCGTCGCCATCAGTGGGAGGGGAAGAGTCTGGTGGGAAGGGCATGGGATCGGAAGGAGGTGCCAGTGGGGGAGAAGCGGTAGGAGGAGGTGGGACAGTGGGGGCAGCAACAGGGGCAGCAGGAGGAGCAGCAGGAGCAGCAGGAGCAACGGCAGCAGGCGCAGCAGGAGCAGGAGTAGGATTAGCAGGAGGAGGGGTTTCAGGAGGAGGATTAGCTGTCTCGCCTGTGCTCTCTCTTGCGGCAGCAGCAGCAGCAGCAGCGTCAGGCCAGGCTGTGAAAGGTGCGACTCTAGACATCACCTCACTGGGGGGCCCTGCTGGTGCCCTTGCAGGGGGCACGGGCGTGGGGCTGGGAGGCGCCCTTGCTCGGAGTGTGGCTGGTGGGCGAACAGAGCGGATTACTGCTGCGCACAGGGAGAGGATGAAGCTTCTGACTGCTGCAGCTTTTGAGAGTAAGAAAGGGCGGCGAGGCGCGGGCGGAGGGAAGGGAGGAGGAGGGGGAGGGGGGGAAGGAGGGGGTGGAGGAGGGAGGAAAGGGGGAGGGGGAGCAGGGGAGGAGGATGATTTTGGGATGAGGGACGAGGACTGGCTGGTGTATAAGCGGATGAGCGCTAAGGGCGTGGAGGAGGAAGAGGAGGAGGAGGCGGAGAGGGAGGCAGCAGAGCTGGAGAAGCTGATAGCCAGGCTGCAGGTGAGAGTGAGGGCTGTCAGCAGGTGCAGGTGAGAGTGAGGGCTGTCAGGAGGTGCAGGTGAGAGTGAGGGCTGTCAGCAGGTGCAGGTGAGAGTGAGGGCTGTCAGCAGGTGCAGGTCAGAGTGGGTGCAGGTGAGGATGAGGGGGCGTGCAGGTGAGGGAGGGTGGTGAGAGTTAGGGTGGTGAGAGGCAGGTGAGGGGGGGTGCAGGTGAGGGGGGGTGCAGGTGAGGGTGGGTGCAGGTGAGGGGGGGTGCAGGTGAGGGTGGGTGCAGGTGAGGGGGGGTGCAAGTGTGGCTATGTGCAGGAATGGTGAAGGAAGTGGGCACGAGATAGGGGATACACTGGGGTGACGGTGTAGGTGCAGTGTGCATGTGATGTGACCTAGTTCCATGCTTTTTCCACTACGAGTTTTACTGGGAAACGGTCATTCCCATCCCCTATTTGTCCCCCATTCCCCATTCGCCCCCGACGGCCCCTTGTCTCTCTCAGGAGGTGGACCCAACCTTCCTAGTCTCCATCAATGCCGCGCCTGCTTCAACCACAGCTCCAGGCACGGCTACCAGCGTTCCCGGACCTTCGGTTCGGCAGCCCACCGACGCAGACTATCAGATCCGGCTCGGCGTGGAGCGCGTCCGGGCAGCTGAAATTATTTTCGAGCCATCTCTGATTGGGCTGGACCGGGCAGGCTTGGGCGAAAGTTTGGGAGCAGCTGTGAGAAGAACGGCGGAGGAGCTAAGGAGCAAACTAGTCCCTTTGTACTCTAGAACCAAGTCGGCAAGTGGTGCTTTTGTGGTTGCCACTGCTGGTTTGGGCATGGAAAACGTTCCGCCGAGCTTTCTCTTCCTGACCGGAGGAAGTTCGCTGCTGCCCGGAATGAGGGGCAGGTTGGAGGCGGAGTATCGTCAGGTGCTGCCAATGGGGAGTGGGATAAAGATTGTGGAAGCACGGGATGTGTTCTGGGACGCGTGGAGGGGAGCGGCAGCCATGGCTGGGGATGGGAGGAGATTGCTTCGGCAGGCTGTGAGTCGGAAGGAGTATGAGGAGCGTGGGCCGGATGCGTTTCGACGGTATAAGTTTGAGTATTTCTGATATGTGGTTTTGAATGCGATCAACACCGTGAGTAAATCTGGCTAAATTGGCATTAACGATTATGCTTAATTGTTACCATTTACGCCTTAAAACTTGATGAAGCGTGGCTTCAGTGACAAACGGGTACGACTTTCCCCCACTCTATAATCTGTCGGGACCATATGCTGTAACGGGTCTGCTAAAAGCGAAGCGAACCCTGCCTGTGTTCTTGGGAACACCGACACGACACAACTCCCTCCCCAAACCCAACCCGATCAAATGAACCTCGAGAGAATATGCTTGTGCCTGTACTTGTCGCGTGGACTTCAATTCCCATCTATTATGCTGCCACCGCAACTACGGCATTCCTTTACCTACTCTTTCCACGCTCGCGAGTTCGCATTACCTGAGGTTCCCTATCCCCGTGTCTGTCGCGTCGCGACTTATGTGATGACGTTCCTTGACCGGCGTTAGTCCCGTGTTCGTTGCAACTCTCGGCTCACGCTAAGTGATCAGCAGCATTGCGTCACGGTTCTTTGACTAGTACTAGTGTTGGACTCGCGCCGCGTGCGCATTTGCGGCGCGCAGCGACGTGCGCGTCTCGTGCGACTCTCCCTAGATACCGACTTCCAAAATAGTAATTTGCTTCAGCCGTTGCCGTCATCTTCGGAGCAGCATTCCTCCGAATCGCAGGGTGAATCTTAGTATTCTAGAAACCATCTGCCATACCTTCTCCGGCTGGTTACGCCAGCTTGTAGCACCCCGGGAACTGAAACGCTGGGGCGATTCGGGGGGTTACGATGGATCGCAGCGCCGGGTTCGTTTAAGCCCTGCGGAAATCCGCACACGCTCGTTAGCCCGAATCACTCCAAGAATTAGCTCGCCGCGTTTATTTCACTTGCGTACTCTCGAGGATGCACCGATTTCAATCATGCAGCAGCCGCATATGCCTCCCTCTTGGAGGGGAGCGAAATCGTTACCAAACGATTTAGAGGGATTTAGATTCTAGACACGGATTCTAGGCTCTGAGAGTCTTAAGTAGCGATTCTGAAATTCCGACATTCCCAGCAGTCTGAAATCTTCATGCTAAAAGATTCTGAGTCAAAGGAGCTGTCATCAGCTGATAGCTCGGGTAGTGTCCAGCGTTTAATTTGCCGCGGATCATCGATTAAAGCCTCCTACGAAGAAGCTCGATTCCTGATTGGCCACCTCTTGACGCTCCTTCGATGAGAGAGTAATCCTGATTCGTGATCTTCCTCTTCTCCGTCTGCCATGGCGGTGAAGGTGGCTAAGAAACCTGCGAGTTGATCTCCTTGTGACGGATTCTAAAGAAATTTTAGGAATTTGCCATGGCGGTGAAGGTAGCCAAGAAACGCGCTCCGATTCGGAAGCGAGCCAGCGGCGCGGGGATCGCGGGCGATGGACTTAGCAGCGCGTTTGGCGAAAGCAGCACCACTCGGCTGCTGCTGTTGATAGGAGGCGCCGCGTTTCTAGTGTGGATTCTGAACCACAGGTCGTTTCTCAGATCGTCTTCATACCCGTCTGAAGAGTCGGTCCTTCACAGTCACAGAAGAAGAGGGGGGTCACGGGGGGCGGACCCGTGGGGTTCAGATGACGGGAGAATGCTTCAGAGCCGTGACTATAACGGGAGAGGAGGGGCGTACGGTGGTAGAGGTGGCTACTATGAAGGATCAACAGTAGGGAATTCGGTAGATCAACGATCAGGAGGTGCTGTAGCTGGGGGGTTTGGGGCAGCCGGAATGGGAGGGGCTGGGGAGATTGGGGGAGGGGAAATGGGGGCAGGTGGCAATCCCAGGTTACACCACGTGGACTCGCCAGGAGCGACAGCTGGCACGTTGGCACGGGGAGGAGAGGATCGCTCGGATGGAGAGCGGTTGGGGTTGGGCGGAAGGGGGGAAGGGGGCGGAAGGGGGGAAGGGGGTGGGGATGCGATCCTGCAGCAACGGTTCTCGGATTCGACTCAGTCTGGCCCGGAAATTGTCAATATGAGGAGCAGCTCCAGCAGCGGCGGCGGTGGCAGCAGTGGTTATGGTGGCATGGGGGACAGCTACAGTAGCAGCGGTAGCAGTGACAGCAGCAGTGGCAGTAGTGATAGTGGCAGTGGTTGGAGTGGCAGCAGCAGTGACAGCAGCAGCAGCAGCAGCAGCAGCAGCAGCAGCAGTGGCATCAGTGACGGCAGGGATGGTGACAGCAGCACCACTAGCCACAGCGCATCATCCGCACCCAACCCTCTGAAACCAACCAAACCCCGGACCTTGCATCCAGGTTCGGCAGCCCGGTGGGCACCAATCAACGGCAGCTTCGTCCTCTCCTGGATCCCTCCTTCCAAGGCTCGGCTCCAGACCAACATCTCCCAACCGGAGCTCTACCCGGTCCTCTTAGACGTGATTCGTTACAACGAAGAGGCGCAACTCACCGCCGCTAAAGCGGGTCTGGAGCCTCCCAAGGCGTCCAGAGGGCCGGCTTGCCCGGTGTTTGAGTTTGGGTTCGAGCGGTTCCCTGGGATTGGGTCGTGCTGGGAGGCAGGGATCGCGGATGAGAAGCGGGCGGCCACGCGGCCTCCTGTGAACTGCAAGGGCGTGGACCCGACGTGTATCCAGAAGAATGATTTGCTGCCGCATAACAAGTGGTCCGCTCAGGTGGGTAGGAGGGATGGATGGAGGGCTGGGTGAGGAGTTTTGTGAACTGCAAGGGCGTGGACCCGACGTGCATTCACAAGAATGACCTGCTGCCGCACAACAAGTGATCCGCTCAGGTGGGTGCTGAGGAGGAAGGGATGGAGGGAGGCGGGGGATGGGGGACAAGGGGGGAATGGGAATGGGGTTGGCTGGGTGAGGTGCTCTGTGAATTGCAAGGAGGTGGACCCGACGTGCATTCAGAAGAATGACCTGGAGTGGCTGCTGACCCTCCTCGCATATCTATGCATGTATCTTCTTCTCATTCCCTCCTCCCCCCCCCTTCTTTCCCCACGCCCACCAGTTCCTCGTGCTGCGCAGCGTGTACTTAAACGTGGTTGGGCAGGTGTTCAACTCAACGCACAGCTTCGACTCCCTTCCTTTCCCCCCCCGCCCCCCCCTTCTTCCCCCACCCCCACCAGTTCCCCGTGCTGCGCAGCGTGTACTTAAACGTGGGCATGTGCTTAACTCACAACACATCTTCATTCCCCTCTGCAATCCCATGCGGGGCTGCCCCCAATCATGCATCCCCCACTCCCTCCCGCTCCAAACAGGTGCTGGTGCTGCGCAGCATGTACATAAACGTGGTGGGCCAGGTGTTCAACTCCACGCACATCTTCAACCCCCTTCCTTTCCCCCCCGCCCGCCCACCCCTTTCCCCACACCCACAGGTCCTAGTTCTGCGCAACGTGTACATAAACGTGGTGGGCCAGGTGTTCAACTCCACCCATCTCTTCGACCACAACGCGTGTGCGGGCAGTCCCAACATCACCGTGACGCTGCCCTTCCGCTACACCGCCAACCGCACACGCGTCACCCACTTCAAAGAGCTCGTCTCCCTCGTCGACTGGTTCGCCTGGTCCACGCGCGCCATGCTGCTCGACCTCATACCGCTCTTCATCTCTCTGCACCGCATTCTGCCGGCTATGAGGGGCGTACCAGTGGCGGTGGGGCACAGGCGGCCGCATGTGAGGAACGGATTGGAGCAGCTGTGCTCGCTGGGGGCGGTGGACGTGCTGGGCGTGCAGGTGGACAAAATGAACGTGCACGTGGTGAAGTCGAAAGACCTGTTCTTTGCAGAGAAACTTGTCATTGTGAGTGGGGGTTGGGGGTGGCCTGGGTGGGTGTGGGGGAGCATGCATGGCATGGGGGAGGCGGTGGATGTGCTGGGCGTGCAGGTGGATGAAGAAGTGTTTTGAGACGGTGGAGGCGGTGGATGTCCGTCTCAAAACACGGGGGAGGCGGTGGATGCCCGTCTCAAAACACGGGGGAGGCGGTGGATGCCCGTCTCAAAACACGGGGGAGGCGGTGGATGTGCTGGGCGTGCAGGTGGACGAAATGAACGTGCACGTGGTGAAGGCCAAGGACCTGTTCTTCGCTGAAAAGCTTGTCATTGTGAGTGGGGTGCAAAGGGGAAGGGAAGACGGGAGGGGATGGGAGGGTGTTTTGAGGTGCCTCAACAGGTGGTCATTGAAAGTGCGGGTGGACAGAATGAACGTGCACGTGATCAAGTCCAAGGAACTGTTCTTTGCAGAGAAACTCGTCATTGTGAGTGGGTTGCGAAGGGGAAGGGGAGAAGGGAGAGGGTGTGGTTGAGGTCCTGCGAAAAGTTGGTGCCTGGGAGTGGTGGATGGGCTGGGAGTGGTGGATGTGCTGGGAGTGGTGGATGTGCTGGGAGTGGTGGATGTGCTGGGAGTGCAAGTGGACAGGATGAACGTGAATGTGGTCAAGGCCCACAATCTTTATTTTTTTTCGCTGAGAAGCTCGTCATTGTGAGTGGAAGTGGCTTTCCCTGGCACCCTGCCTCCCCCTTCTTTCATTTCCCCCCTTCCCCACGCTACTCCCCTGCTTCGCTCCCTTCCGCATCATCTCACCCCATCCCTCCCCTGTCTCCCCTCCCTTTGCCTCCCCTTCCTCCAATCCCCTCACCTCCCCTCCCTCCCCTCCTGTCCCGTCCGCTCCCCTCCCCTCCGTTCCTCTCCCCTCCCCTCTCCTCCCTATCCCAGCCACTGCACCAGCGGTGTGGGGAGCCCAGCCGCTCGCTTTGGCACTATCTGCGAATGAGACACCTGCTGCCGCCCGGGGGGCTGCCCATCTTTAATGCTGGTACGAGCAGGGCGGGTGAAGGGGGGGGGGGGGGCTTCCACTGAAAAAAGGCGCGCAAAGAGAAAGGGGGAGGGGTGGGAGGGTGGGGTGGGGGGGATGGGGGGGGCGGGGAATCGAGGAGAGATGGGGTGGAGGTTACAGGCTAGGGGTGGGGGGGCTTGTGGGCATGGCAGGTGTGGTTTTTGGGGTGACCATGGTGGTGGAGTTGGGTGGGGTGAAGGTGTCAGACGCAGGATCTGAGGATGAGGTGTGTTTTGAGTCGACTCAAAACAGGTGTGGTTTTGGGGTGACCATGGTGGTGGAGTTGGGCGGGGTGAAGGTTTCAGATTCAGGATATGAGGATGAGGGGTGTTTGGCCTGTAAGGTAACGACACTCTAGACTATCTACATTGAACATCATTCCCTTCAATCCCAGACCTTGAGATGATGATCCTTTCCTGTTGAGCCACTTCAGGAAAGTGCTCAAAACATAAACACTTATTTCACACCACATCCCACGTGCGTGCGCCATCCCACCAGACTGGACGTCCAGGTTCAAGGGACCTGCCACCCCAGCCAACACACCATGCGCCTATGCTACCGGGAAGGCTCCATCTCCCCCCCCCTCAACCACGTGCTCTTCCCCGCCCCTCTCCTCTCCCCACCAGACTGGACGTCCAGGTTCAAGGGACCTGCCACCCCAGCCAACACACCATGCGCCTATGCTACCGGGAAGGCTCCATCTCCCCCCCCCTCAACCACGTGCTCTTCCCCGCCCCTCTCCTCTCCCCACCAGACTGGACGTCCAGGTTCAAGGGACCTGCCAGTGCCACCCCGGCCTACACACCACGCGCATACGCGCCCGGCAGCAACTGGGTGGTGCTGCTGGGGTGGAAGGAGCAGCGCGCATCCCTCCTGCAGAGCCTCAAGCTACACGAGCACCTCACCCGCCTCTTCCCCCCCGAGCGAGTCGTCATCTACCGGGAAGGCTCCATCTCCCTCCCCCGCCGAAAAGACCTGCTCAACCGCGCGCTCCTCATGGTATCAGTGCACGATAATATCCTCGCCGATATTGTCTTCATGCCGCCCGGATCCGCCGTGCTGGAGATTCGCCCCGTGGAGAATCCGGATGTGATTTTCCACCAGCTGGCGGATATCTGCGAGATTGAGTATTATTTGGCGTTTTGTGAGGGGGGGAAGGCGGTGGGGAGTGCGGCGGGCGGGTGGGCAGGGAAGCCCGTGGAAGGGAATTTGGGCGCCAAGGACCCCAAGGGGGTGCAGAAAATGTTGACGGATATTTCCAGGAAGGTGTTTGCTCGAGCAAATGCAATGAGACGGAAAGGAGGGTAGCTAGTCAGCTCGTGGGGAGTGCCGGTGGGGAGTGCGGTGGGCGGGTGGGTCGGGAAGCCCGTGGAAGGGAATTCGGTTGCTAAAGACCCCAAGGGGGTGCAGAAAATGTTGACGGATATTTCCAGGAAGGTTTTTGTGCGAGCAAATGCCATGAGACAGAAAGGAGGCTAGGCGATCAGCTCATGGGGAGTGCAGCAGGTGGGTGGGCTGGGAAGACTATGGAGGGGAATCTAGTACGGTAGTCAAGGATCCAAAAGGGGTGCAGAAAATTGATATTTCCAGGAAGGTGTTTGCTCAGGCGAATGTGATTAGACGCGAGGTTGGACATCCGGCGGTATGTGCATTGGGGTGGGCTGGCTAGCTTGCAGGCAAGGTAGGGTTTTTTTTGGAGCCATAAACTTATGCTTCTGTTCTGTTGCCTATTTTTTCATTTCAATGGAGAGGGCATACCGGTACCAGGGTTTCTTGTACCGTAAGTGTGACAGACCTCAATGATTGATCGGCGGGGCTCTTGCTAGGATTTAGGCCCGTCTGAAAATATAAATGAAAAAATCGTTTCGTCTGACGTTCAGACGGGCCAAAATTTTCTGTTTGATTTTTCATATGAAAGTTGGAGATGTGTCTGATTTTTCAGACGATATATTTTGCTTAGTTTGAATTAACTAAAACACTTGTCGAGCGTGATTCAACTCTATTTTGTCGAAGCTTATGACGGAGGCGGTGGTGCGGCACTGACGGTGTGCTTGCTGACAGGCGAGTGACAAGTTGGGAGGGAGGCGACGGGAGGGATGTGTTGGGATGGGACGCACGTGGCAAGAGGGACCGTATGAAAATATGCTGTAGATGCGAGACGCACGTGGGGGGGGGGGGGGGGAGAATGAGGGGTGGTGTCAGACGAAAAAAAAACCCGCTATCTAAAATCTCAGATGAAATCAGACGAGCTAAAATAAATAGTCTTATGGATCAGACGAAATAAAAAGCATTGCCTTAGAAATCAGATGAAAGCAAAAATGTAGGTCTGAAAGTCAGACCATCAGACCGATTTGGTCTGATAACCAGAGCGTAGATTCGACGCGCTCAGCTCACCGCAAGAAGGAACGAGTTGCGACACCGCCAGAAAGCATGCTTGCTGGCTGGCGGCTCACACCATTTGCTATGAAACCACCTTCGCAGGGGCTATTTTGCACGAAATATGCTTTTTACATTAGTAGGAACGCACTTAACATTTCTTTTACACTTATGAGTAGGCTTTACAAATCTGATCAGGAAAAGGTAGAAAGCTACAACCTGCCAAGGCTAAGTGAGAGCTCTGGAAAAGAAGGCTCATAAAACCCGGGCAGGTCCAACGACGGCCCTCGGGCAGAGGGAGAGCAGCCTTCCCCTAATACAACCTCCCCCATAAGGCTCTCCCCTTTGACGTTCTTTCCCATACGAACCTTCCCCACGAAACCCCCTGCCTTGGCGCCCTCTCCCGTGTGGCTCTCTCCCTTGGGGCCATGAGGTGGGGCAAGAGAGCAAGCCAAGGAGAGAGAGGAGGGCGAGAGCGAGAGTGCGTCGATGAAATTCCTCTCCATGGGCTGCGCTTCGGCTGGCGTGGTCGCCTTGTCTCTTGCAGCTGGAGCAGGAGCAGCAGCAGCAGCAATAGCGGTGGCAAGGGCAAGAGCGGGAGCAAGAGCAGGAGCAGGAGCGTTGCTGTTGGAATGAGTGAGGACGTTAGAGGGCATGGGAAGACGAGAGCCCAGAGCTGTGATTAAAGAAGCACTGCTACCAGGATCCCTCTTGAGCCGCTTCCCTGGGTGGGATGGTTGCTCCCAGGTGCTTCCATCGCACACATTGCTTGATAAGCAAAGTCCCGTTGTGCCGTTGCTCTCACTGTTGCCGCCGACAGTGCTGCGCTCGGCGGTGGGTGCGAGATTAGCGTGAGCGGAAGGGACAGCGTACATAGCAGGTCGCATTGCTGGTGCTGAGATTGGAAGGGGCGTAGGGGGTGTGGATGTGTGCGGGGAGGGTGGAAGGGGGGGGAGACTTGCTGACACTGGCTGGTTGAATTGGCCGGCATACTGGATCCTCTGCTGTCCCTGCTGCCATTGCTGGCTTTGCTGCTGCGGCTGGTGCTGGCTGTCGTTCTGTTGTTGCTGTTTCTGTTGCTGCTGCTGCTGTTGATGCTGCTGCGGTTGCCCGCTCAGGCCGTGCTGGGGAAGGCTATGTGGCGAGGAAGCATGATTGCCAGGCTGGCCAGAATCCCAGGGAGTCAATGGAGGCTCCGTGCACAAGAGCAGCTGAGGTGGCGGCTCCTGATTGGACAGCATCTGGAGCAGCGGCATTCGATTCTCGCCGCTCCCCTCAGCTGTCTTAAGATTACCCTGTCGTCTGGGGTGCGACCCGGGCCATTGAGACGCCTCAGTGCAATGCTGCTGAGGCGGCGTGGAACGCAGAGCGTGATGGGCCTCACCGCACGGATGATATGCGGCATTACCACCACAAGGTACGGATGATGTGACTCCTAATGTTATGCTAACTCCTCCCGACGCATCTTGACGGCCTGAGCAATTTAGACTTGACTGATCCAGTGGCATCATAGGCCGACCCATCATCAACTGCTGCTGCTGAGATTGCAGCTGAGCCTGCTGGTGCGGGGGAGGGGAGCGCACAGAAAGTGCCTGGGTGTTGTTCCCTGGAGCGGGAAACGTTGCTAAATGCGGCTCCGCCTGCCCTCCGTTCCGCCCCGTTCTTAGCTTTGGCGTCTGCTGCTGCACTAGAAATTGCTGCTGCTGCTGTTGCTGTTGGTGCAGCATGATCTGCTGTTGTTGCTCCTGCTGCCGCCACACGCCGCCGCCGGCGGCGGAAGCTGCAGGCGCCATCATCACGCCGCCTTGCGGCGGCGGCGACGGCGGCGGCACCGCGGCCGCGGCGGCGGCGGCGGTAGCAGAAGCGGCAGCAAGGAAGCGGTTGCGGGAGAGGCGGGAGGAGAGCAGCGGCGGAGGATGGTTGTGCGCATTCTCGAACCAGGTCTTCTCCTTCATTGCCGTCTCCGTCGACAATTCCCCGCCGGCGGCGGAATCCGAACCCGCCGCCGCCGCCATGGCCTCGCCCGCGGACCCTTGATCATGGCCCGCGCACGCCACCGCGCCGGCGGGCCCGGGAAAAGAACTGCGTGCCCAGAAATCCTGGGGCGAAGATCCTGAGAGTTTGTCGTTCCGGGAGACGGATGCGAGGAGGTTCAACCTCCCCGCCGCATTGGGAGAAACGGGTTTTCTGTTGTCGCTGGTTGTGCTGGCTTCCGGAGACAGCGCACCTCCGCCGGCGCAGCCGCCGTCGCCGCCGCCGCCGCCGTCGCTGCCGCCGCCACTGGATGCGGCGCGCCCGTTCAAGCTGCCGGCGCGGGGTCGCTTGCGCGGCTTATCGACGATTTTCTTCGCGGGGCACCCGTGCGTGTCCTTCTGCGCACAGGCGTAGTAGAATCTGCGACGAAACACGGAGGCGGCAAATAAAAACGGCAATGCGACTTGTTAGTGCCAGTGACTGGCAGTCCTAAATCCCATATATTGCCACCACCAGCTTACTGCTGGATGCGACACATGATTGTTTGCTGGAATTTCTCGTTTTCCCGGCGAAAAAATCATGTTCAGGGAAAATCGCGACTCGGTGTGTGAATCCTAACCGTTTGACGTTGACGGACGCGAGAACCTTGTGACCGTACTTCTTCCACGAGTAACCCGTACAGCTGGTAGCATTGCGCGATTCGGAAGGGATAGCGGCGGCGGTTTCCATCATCGTATCACACGGATCGCGAGACTCTCTCGAATATTGTGGTCGACGTTTGATGTTTCAAATCAAGTTGAGTTGTTTTTCCCACAGTACACAGTAGAAGTTTCTACTCCGGGAGTCTCGCTGATATGGTGGTTACAATGGGAAGGGAGTCAGGCCTACAAATAGAAATAACCAAGTTGGACCTCGAGCACGCAGCAATTGTGCGAGCTAGTTGCTTTGGTGTGATTCCTTCCCGCTGCATTCCCTGCATTCTCATCACAACATTCTCAACTTTCGCAACGGACTGAACAGAGGGGTGTGCCAGCCAGCACCACCGCGTTGGGGGTGCGATCGGAGGGAAGCAGCAGGATAGTGTAGGCCTGCGGATGCGCTGTTGATGTGCTGTGTTCTGTGCAGACTCCGCTGTGGTGGTGTGCTGCACTGCTGCGGAGTAAGAGGCGCAACACGAGGGTGCCAGCGCGCGCATAGACCAGATCGGATTGGGCGACGACCCGACTACACGACGACGGGTCTTGGCGGGCGGGCTGACTGAAACCCCCCTCGAAGCCAGTCACTGATGGGAATGATCGCTCGCTCGCACGCTCGCATCCCACCCCCAAACCCATCGTGAGGCTTGGATGGCATTCACACATTTCATGGTCTAGGCGCGTCGCACATTTGGAATGAAGGGGTGCGAGGGGGGATTAGGGCAAGAGGGGAGAAGTGGGGGAGTACAGTTGTGCAGAAAGGCGGCTTCAACAACTGTGGGCCAGTTGTATGGTCCAGTCTGATAAAAATGTTTTCAAGTACGACGTTTTACAGTTTAGGATTTTGAGAGTCCTGCAAATACAGACTTTGTGCATGTCTTTCTAGTTCAAATAACTTTTAGCACGCTGGCATGTCGATGTTCGCAATTCACACGAAGTGTGGATATTTTAGATCCGATACTAGTGTATGTGTTCCTTTGTGCTGCTGGTGATGGTGGTGGTTTGATGTGAAACCGGTTCCGTGCTATGCCCACCGAGTATCACACAACCATAAAATCCGGCCGGGAAGCAAGGACAGCTACACATTGTATATAACGAAGCAAGGACAGAAATAATATATGGACTGTAAATTTTGCCTTTTGCTGTTCTCTGGCTGGTCGCAGCCCCTTCTAAGGACGTGGGCCCGATCGAATTTGATCGGCTCGATCAAAGGCGATCAATGACTTCAGGAAGGCGGGAGTCCAATTTCAGGCAATCAGGGGC